CTTGAACCCCTGGACTCAGGCAATCCTCTCGCTTCAGCCTCCCAAAGTGCTGGGATTACAGGCTTGAGCCAACGCAGCTGGCTAGGATGAAACTCTAATTTACGCTAATACCACTGCCCTCCCCATACTTCCCTTTTACAGATGGGGCCAAAAGCTAGAAAGAGGGGGAGGCTTGCCCAGGGTCACGTGGCCAGTCAGGGGCAGAGCCAGGGCTAGAACCCAGGCTTTCTGATCTCCACATCTCCTCACCTGCAGGCTCCCACGAGGACAGTACTCTGTGAGGATACAGATGTTGGGGGGGTCGGTGCAGGCCCCCACAAACCTGGTCAGGTGTTCATTCTGCACATCCCGCATCTGCAGGTGGGACTGACATCAGAATCTGACAGAGAACTCACTCCTCACCAAGCTGCCTGTGGGCCTCAGGGAACCTTACTCTTTTAACTCTCCATTTATGTTCTGTAGACATTGCTCCCCTGGTGACTCCTAGCCACGTTTTTCAGTCCACTCTCCCCCAGAATCTGCTCCCAACTCCCTGTGCCTCCTAAACCCTCTATCCCCAGGGGCATCATGAATGGCCCCTCAGGGACTCCTCCTCCCATATGATGGTCCCCCTACTCTCACCCACCAGACAAGGGCCCATCCCTGGGCTACAGTCCTTGGCCTTTCCTGGGATGCCCTGAGGACCCTCCATAACCAACCTCCCCCATGCCCCCAGGGACCCTTCTCGAGACCACTGCCGCTCTCTCCCACATTACATGCTTCAGCTCAAACAGGACTTTCCGAGTCAGCTCAATGCGTTTACGGTTCACACGTTTCACAGCCACGAGGTTGCCCTGGGCAAGGAATGGAGACCTTTAAGTGGAGCATGGCGGCCCACCCCCAGGACCCTCCAATGCTCCCACAGGCCACCCTTAGGGTCCCCAAGTGCTCCCAGACAGCCCACTCCTGCCCAAGACTCTACCCCGGTCCTCTGTCAGCGTATGCCTTTGCCCCAGTCTCGAATCCCACCTTGTAATACGCTGTCTTGGCAAAGACTTGGAACTGGCCCTCTGTGGTTAGGAGGGAGCCGTAGTTGGATCCTCTCTGAAGGGACGGAGAGCAGGAGGGATGGTTGGCCCATGCGCCCAGTCTGTACCCTGACTGCTTGAGCTCTGGTCTGTACTGCCCTGCCACATCTTTGTGCCATTCTCCTTATGGTTCACATCATGATTCTCCTCATTCTCTTGCTTTTTTATTTATTTTTATCTATTTATTTTTTTGAGTTGGAGTCTCACTCTGTCGCCCAGAGTGGAGTGCAGTGGCCGCTCCCGGCCACCGCAGCCTCGACCTGCTGGGCTCTGGCGATCCTTCCACCTCAGCCTTCCAAGGAGCTGGAACTGCAGGCGTGCGCTACCGCGCCCGGCTAGTTTTTTTATTTATTGTAGAGACAAGGTCTCGCCAAGTTGCCCAGGCGGGTCTCGAACCCGCGGGCTCAGGCAATTCACTCACCTCAGCCTCCCAAAGCGTGGGATTACAGGCTGAGCCACTGAGCCTGGAAATTTTTAAGTTTTTAAAGTATTCACTTTCTCCATGTCTGTAAAATCACTTATTAGCAAAAAATAAAAGGAGAAAAAGTATCTTACAATTATAAAAACCAAAGACAGAATTAAAAATCAACTGTAGGTAGCCCAGGGGCAGGGACAGTGCCAGATGTATTTGCTGCTGTTTCCCATAGAAGGAAATAAAATAACTGTTGAATGAACAAAAATATTAAAACAGAGCAAGCGCTTACCAGCACCACAATGACCCATTGGCTTGCTTAATCACCGCCGCAGACGTAAGACAGAATTTACAGTTGGCCTTCCGTATCCATGGATCCCATATCCGTGGACTCAGTTAACCACGGACTGAAAATATTTTTTTAAAATTGCATCTATATTGAACATGTAGAGACTTTTTATTGGTCATTGTTCCTTAAACAGTGTAGTATACACAACTATTTATACAGTATTAGGTATTATGAGTAACCTAAAGATGATTTGAGGTACATGAGAGGACGTGTATAGGTTATATGCAAATACTTTACCATTTTATATCAGAGACTTGCGCGTCTGCGGATTTTGATATCTCAGGGAGGTCCTGGAATCAATCCCCCACAGAGACCAAGGAGCCATTGTACACATCTATACTCAAGTCAAAGATAATGTACTGTGGACACAGTGTGGTGCAACAAATTGAATAAGCTTCTAGAAAGGCAATTTTGGGAAACTAAGATGCTATTTGAAAAGTCTTGGATTTACAAAATAGCAATTATAATACAAAATTGTCTAAAATACTTATTTTGCTTCAGAAAACAAGCATTCTCTGATTGATTTTAATACTAAGGAATCAACTAGCATTAATAGATAACAATTCATCCCCCTTGCTAATAAAAATTGTCCAACGTGAACACATGCCTGATGCCTGTATGGGGGCCTGGTATGAAACAGCAAGAATAGTGAGACCCTTATATGGGGCTGCTGATTGCCACCTCCGGGGAACAGAAAGGAACCTGAGTGCCCACAGAGAAGCAGGAGACATAGCCAAGATGTGTGTCTAACTCTCCTGAGTTATAGTAGGTCTTCAAACTAATTTTTTAACTGGAATACAAAATTGACAAAAATTAGTCTTTCCCTGTATTAGATATCATACTCAATTAAAATTAATAAGAAATAAGAATGCCCTTTTTGAAACACTGTATTTGATACTTTATACTTATTTTGAACAATTAGTTAAAATGTAAATCTAGGATAATCTTTTTGAAATTTACCTTGTATTTAGAAATGTCTTTTATTTAATATGCAAATAATAAAAAGTAATAGAGAAGTGAAGGGAAATAGCAAATCTATTTGTTTTTAAGAACCAATAGAAAAAAAAAATCAACAAATTCTAAAGTGGAAACAGGAAATCAAAATATCAGTTCTTTTATCTGTATGAGGATCCTGTTCAGCCCACTCAGTTTCTAGAGTACCAAGACAGAAATATATAACCTGTCAAAGACAGACTATCAGATAAACTGTATCTTCCAACTCGGAAATATTTTCCTTGATTATTTTTTTATGGAGCAAAGGTGCCATGTTAAATTAAGAAGTTTTTTCCCCCTCCTTTAAAAGCTCTCTTTTAATGGTTCAAATCATAGGGGTTAGCACTTCATTTTAACTGTTGTATGTGGAAGAGGTCTCTATGATTGTATATTCTTGTCAGAATGAAAAAATAAAAAATACAGATGGGTGGTACAACATCAGGGTATTTTCATTTCTTCACATAGGGCAATTAGTCAGCATATGCAAACAGGAAATGAGAGAAAAGCTGTGCAAAAGGGCAGCAGTGATGTCTGAGAGAGACAGAGCGAACAAATGATCTCAATTATATCTGAATACAAAGTAAGATTACCTAATCAAAACTTTGAACTATTTTTAGATAATTTCCTGGACTTAAAAAAATTTTTTTTTTGCATAAAACATTTCCAAAATATTGGTGATCTGGCTATCTGAAAATGGCATATAGCCCAAATTGTGATGAGTTCTTCATCTTATTACCACCAATCCCTTAAGTTTCTGTGGGTACGACAAAAATGTTTGCCACCAACTATAAAAATGTTCACATTGAAGGACCCTAAATGTCTGGAGAACTTGCCTCCATTCATGTATGGGTATTTTGTCTAATGCTACTACAATCACAAATGCAGAACAATTCAGATTTCATGTTTGAAATGTCAAGCATCCATACTGAATCTGTCTATAAATTCAAACAAAAAGGCAGAAATCAGACACATTATAAGAAAAGCGCTAAGAAAAGAAGGTTTTACTCAGCTATAAAAGCTCAAGCAGATCATTAGTTTTAAGCCATCTCAAAGTAAAGTATACTTTAAATATAAGCGTGTGCTGTGGTATAAATGTTGTTTATGTTCTAACACTTGAGCAGCACTAAAACGTAATGAAAACGAATCCGCTTCCAGGTTTGGGTCTGCACGTGCCATCAACCTGTTTTCCTTAAGTTAAACCTATGTGTCTGTCCAGGATAAAAAACACTTCTAGAAACAACCACTTCTATTTCTTTCCATATAGTTGAGGGGAATGGGATCAGTTCTAGGCAAAGCTGTCAAATCAAGGGCAGCCACTTCCTCCTCTGCCTGCAGAGGAATCGTGTACTCTTAGCTGGCAGAATTAGAAGAGATTTGACATTTATATTCTTTGACCAATTCTACTTGAGTGAGAATGAACTTGAAAACCTTACCTCTCTGAACCTTTTACCCATAAAATGGACTAGAAAATTCTTCTTGAAATGACATGCCTGATCTGTCTCTCCCCTGGCAACTGTAAATTTATCTATAGGGAGACTATTATTCATTCTTATATCCCTAGCACCTGGTCGGTACCCTGGCACGTAGCAGACATTTGATAAACATTTGCTGAATGGAACTGTAGTTCCTTGAAGGAAACTTCAGAAATCAAAGCTAGCAGGTAAATTTATTTCGGAGCTCCTGAAATCTCAAAGCAAGCTCAGAAGACAAGACTCACAGAATTAAATGATTACACTGTTTTGGCAGAGGGGTAGGAACTGAGGGAAGCAACACAACCACCTGGGAGACCACACTGCTTCTGTGTCCCTGGAAGAAGCATCACCTGCTTTGGCCAGCTTCAAAAGCTAGGGAGCCATGGGCATGTGCTACTTAGAGGCCCACGAGCGTGAAGACAAACCTGGATGGCACTCAGCGGGCCTGAATTTTCAGAACACTTCTACTTTCAGACGTCCTGTTCCATAGCTCCTTAAGCACATGGAACCTATATTGATCATGATTTATTATTTAGGACTAACCAATGAGGTTCTATGAAAAGGAAAAAAGGAACAAGGCAAAATTCAAAATCTTTAAGATGGATGTTCACATGAAATTAAAATGTGATGATGATGTTGGAAATATAGAAGATTTGTGTTGACTATAGATACAGGAGAATCAAAGAAGAAAATCTGCATAAATGTAGTTTGGTTAAGTAAAAGCAAGCAACTGTTTTTCCTTTTTCTAGTTACTAAAAACAGCTTAAAAATGATAGTGAAATAGAAAAAGATAAAAATCCATAACCTATAATGCTAAAAAGTCATTAACATCTTTCTATTATTTTTTAAAAAATTGTAGTAGACAGATGGATAAACATTTATGCGAACTTGATGTTAATGCATAACTTTCATAGAATATTGTGCTTATTAGAACGTTTTAGCCAGATTTATTTTTGTACCTTTAATTTTATTGTCAAGCTCTGTTCACTTGGACTGTGAGGTCTTGCCCAAGGTCTCCTTTCCCTGGGGCGAGGGCCTCTGGCTGCTGTCAGTGGAGCTTTAGGAACCTGAGCCCATCCCCTGGTACCTGGCCCAGCCACTTCGTTTTTTCCAGTCTCCCCATCCTAGGGCTGGGGGTCCTGGCCTCTAAATCTGTACTCTGTGTCCAAGGTCCTGCTGACAGACTTACCTGGTGCCAAATCCGTGTGTGCCTGGATTTCCAAGTATTGCTACCGCTCAATTTTGTGCCACTGTGCTGCATCTATAGGCTGGGAAATCTAGATGTTTGTGTGTGTCCTCTTCCCAACAACACTAGCAAACTGCTCCGGTCACACTGGGTTCCTTATTTTAGTATCTGCCCTGTCCCCACGAGCAGACTTAATCCCCTTCTCTACCTGCCTGTAGGTAATCAGCTCCTTCCCAGCAGACAGAAAGAGATAAAGTGGCAACATGGGGCAGTCTATCACTAAGCAAGATTCAGAGAAGGAAGAGCTTAAGAGATCATCTGTGGGCTATGGGGAGACAGGACCAAATAAGTTTTTATAGCAGCCCATGCATCTTGTGCAAAGAGTAAGGAAGACTGCTCCTCTCCAAGCCTCTCATTAGACCATAATTACTAATGAAGCCCTATTGATCACAAAACATATTGATAGACCCTATGACTGTAAGTGGCATGCTTATTATGTGGCATGCTTTTCAAAGCTTTTGATATTATATCTCTTACATTATTTAGGAATTGGAATAAAAGATCACCTTGAAAGTCATGCCATATAATGATAAAAGCCACCTACCTGAGGCCCTGCTCCAAACTCTAGCAAGGCACCTTACTAATAGACCATCAAAGAATGAAGCATTCTGGGTGCCAAATACAGCCAAGGCAGCACCAAGAGGCAACCTAAAAAGAAAAGAAAAGTTAGTTTGAAATTCCAAAAGTCACGCCAATCTGATTAATGGCATACAAACCAATCTGTTTTTAATTCATTATCACTTATTAATATTTTTTGTACTTTACTGAAAAATCTAAATTATGTTAGAAACAAAATATTTATAGTACATTGAAAAATGAAAAGTAAACAAATCAATACCCCTAGATTTACATATATATTTCCCCCGAATCATAGTTATCTAGATTATTCATATTTTTATTTGGTAAAATACTACTCTAAGTTTATTGCCATTTCTCAAATTTTTCTATACATTTTATTTATATTCTAAACACATCCACTATCTTTTCTCTAACACAGTTTTCAGAAAAACCTTTTGTGCTGTCTATCTTGTTCTGAACAATAGCTGAGGGACAAATTCTGCCCCATGAGTGTTTTCCTCTGTCAGAGACCAGGCCATTTGTGTCTACAGAGAAGGGTGCAAGCCACTGACAGCCCTAAAACAGAGACAGAATAAGGCGGTAGGGACAATTTCTGAGCTTCTGAGTTAGCCTTTATGATGGGGTTTGACTTGTTTTCAACTGAATTCTGAGGGCAAGTCCATGTTCAACAACATACAAGAAAAACCAAACGGTATTCTGAAATATTCAAAGTTCTAGATTACCCTCCGTGTCCTTCTGTTGATGCAGATGATCAAGACTGACCTCTAAGGTCAGTAACTAAGAGAGAAAAGGATGCCAGAAGAAGTTCTATGCAGAAAATCACTTGCTCCATTTCCCAAAACCAGAGGGTCAGCGCTCAATTATACATGGCTACCACTTTATTAAGATGACTATCTAACATTGATGGACTAAAGATTACCGACACCTATTACACATGGTACTGAATCACCATGGTGCAAAAAGACATAATGCCTGTTCTCTAGGAGCACACAAGACAGTTGTGGCTGCAGAATATACACCTTTTGCCAAGTTAAGAAAAACAATTGTTAAATAAGACCCGCCATAAGGTGGAATCAGAGTAACAAATCAACAGCTAAAAACAATATTATTTGGTATAAACAAGTCCCACAGAAGGTAAAAAAGAAAGAAAGAAAGAAAAAGAATTTTTACCTCGAAGAATGTACAATTAAAGGCAAGACGAAAAACAAAAGTATATATGCGGTTCAGGGGGTAAGCACAACAGTTGGAAGAACTCAGAGGTTAGACCTGTAGATTCTTATACACCCTAAAATGACCCTCTGGCTGTCGTTTGGGCTACAGACATTGTAAGAATTCAGTTGAGAAAAGTACACTGAAGCCCAAAGGGCGGGACAGCTCGCACTCACGTACTCATGACAAGCAGTGGGGCCGTTGGAAATGCTGAATGGGTCAAAAGCACTGAGGACACCACATACTTGGGGAGGTGGGAGGGAAGAAGGGGAGACAGAGTGCTTGCTCACATTCCAAATGTGTGTTGGAATAATGCAAAGCAGCGTTGAAAACCTGCACAGAAAAGGTTTCCTAGAAGAAAGGCCAGACATTCGCTGACAATAAACAAAGAGAGATACAAGGAAGGAAGACAAAGATAGAGACAGATTCAAACCAAATTACTGGTTGGCTCATGATAACCACTACTATGAGGCAAAGCCAGGTAATTTAAAGGAAAAAAGGAGCAGAAACAGAACTTTAAGGAGAAGAAAGAAAACTGTGACCAAAACCACAAAAAGATAAAGCTGCTAAGAGCTACAGAACCAGCCCACAACTGCTTATCTTCCCCATTCCCCAGTTAAGCATGAAGACACCAAACTTCAGCAAGAAGCAATACAGGGTGGAATGGGAGGGAGGGAGAAGGTATAAATGAGAACAAGGCATCAGGTGGTTGGAAATGCTTTCAGCAAGAAGATGCTTTCTTTTAAGGAGCTTTGCGCCTAAAGAGAAGATAGAAACAACAACAGAAACAAATTAGGGTAGTAGCAAAAGAGGAACTCACGATTCCTGAGAGAGTGAGAAGAGAATATGTCCATGATGAGGAGAGTGAGGCAGGAAGACAGTGGAGCACTCCTGAAGAATCAAGGAGGAATGAAATTCAGAAAGGAGGGAGAGGATTTTTTTTTTTTCACCTTGGATAAGAACAGGGGCTGCTTCACTCAGCTAGAGCTAGGAAGGAGGTATGTTTATCCTACTAAGTTTTGTGGTAGTGGAGGTAAGAAATGCAGAGTGTGCTCACCTTGGCCAGTGCTGAGTAGAAGGGTCCTGTGTCTGGACAGAACGAGAAAGGAGCAAGGCTCTTGGCTAGGGGACAGTCGCCCTTGGGGAGAAGCAGAGGGGTGTCCAGGGGGCATCCAGGGGGGTTTTACAAAACAAACAAAACTTGCAATAAAGAATTCAATCTCTTAGTTACTGCTGGTGGTAGTATATATTGTTGAAACTTTTCTGAAATACATTGTAGAAACAGGTAAGCAAAGCTTCTTAAAAGTTCATATAACCAGGTTCGGTGGCTCAGCCTGTAATCCCGCGTCTTTGGGAGGCTGAGGTGAGTGGATGGCCTGAGCCCGCGGGTTCTAGACCCGCCTG